TTAGAGTCACATAACAATGTATGTATAAATTTTTGTATGGGAAAAAATAAAAATAAATTTACACACCAACTACTAAGGCCAAAGATGAGGAAACTGATAATTTCTGGTGACTGGAACGTGAAAGTTGGAAACAAAGGAAGACTGGTAATTGGAAAATATGGCCTTGATGATAGAAATGATGCTGGAGATTTCATGATAGGATTTTGCAAGACCAATGACTTCTTCATTGCAAATACCTTTTTTCAACAACATAAACAGTGATGACTATGGAGCCCTGGTGGCTCAGTGGTTTAGAGCTTGGCTGCTAACCAAGAGGTCGGCAGTTCAAATCCACCAGCTACCCCTTGGAAACCCTATGGGCAGTTCTGCTCTGTCCTGTAGGGTTGCTAGAGTCAGAATTGACTCTATGGCAACGGCTTTTTAAATGGCGACTATACACATGGAGGAAACCCTGGTGGCGTAGTGGTAAGTGCTACAGCTGCTTACCAAAAGGTTGGCAGTTTAAACCCACCAGGCGCTCTTTGGAAACTCTATGGGGCAGTTCTATCCTGTCGTATAGGTTCACTATGAGTCGGAATTGACTCAACGGTGATAGGTTTGGGTTTTTTTGGACCTTGCCAGATAGAATACACAGGAATCAAATTGACTACATCTGTAGAAAGAGACAATGGAAAAGCTCAATATCGTCAGTCAGAACAAGGCCAGGGGTCGACTGCAGAACAGACTATCAATTGCCCATATGCAAGTTCAAGTTGAAGCTGAAGAAAATTAGAACAAGTCCATGAGAGCCAAAGTACAACCTTGAGCATATCCCACCTGAATTTCGAGACCATCTCAAGAATAAATTTGATGCATTGAACACTAATGACCAAAGACTAGACGAGTTGTGGGATGACATCAAGGACATCATACATGAAGAAAGCAAGAGGTCATGAAAAAGCAGAAAAGAAAAAAAGACCAAAATTAATGTCAAAAGAGACTCTGAAAGTTGCTCTTGAACATAGAGTAGCTAAAGCGAAAGGAAGAAATGATGAAGTAAAAGAACTGAACAGAAGATTTTAAAGGGTGGCTCGAGAAGACAAAGTAAAGTATTATAATGAAATGAACAAAGACCTGGAGTTAGAAAACCAAAAAGGAAAAACGTGCTCAGCATTTATCAAGCTGAAAGAACTGAAGAAAAAATTCAAGCCTCAAGTTGCAATAGTGAAGGATTCTGTGGGCAAAATACTGAATGACACAGGAAGCATCAAAAGAAGATGGAAGGAATACACAGAGTCTCTGTACCAAAAAGAGTTGGTCAACATTGAATCATGTCAGGAGGTAGCATATGATTAAGAACCAATGCTACTGAAGGAAGAAGTCCAAGCTGCACTGAAGACAGTGGCCAAAAAGAAGGCTCCAGGAATAGACAGAATACCAATTGAGATGTTTCAACAAATGGATACAGCGCTGGAAATGCTCACTTGTCTATGCCAAGAAATTTGGAAGAGAGCTACCTGGCCAACAGACTGGAAGAGATCCATATATATGCCTATTCTCAAGAAAGGTGATCCAACTGAATGCGAAAATTATCAAATAATATCATTAATATCAACGCAAGCAAAATTTTGCTGAAGATCACTCAAAAGCAGTTGCAGCAGTACATCGACAGAGAACTGCCAGAAATTCAGGCTGGATTCAGAAGAGGACATAGAACCAGGGATGTTATTGCAGATGTCAGATGGATCCTGACTGAAAGCAGAG